CTTGTGGCAATTTCCACACTTTTTGTACTGACACTATTTCAATACGAATATTGTTACTTTACTACTATTATTTTTACTAGTACCTCCACTACTACCAGGACTTACTGCTAGACTAACTACCAGCACTTCTATTATTGCCAGTACTAATACTGCCACTATCAGCATTATCACTACCACCATTGGTATTAACGCAAATCTTACCAGTGCTACCTACACTACTACTGTTATTATACTACTGCTTTACTGCCACTGTCTGTCCCAAACTACTACTGTTTCTTGAAACTTGGTCGCCTGACGTCCTTTGTAATTTCACCCCCTCCCTCCATGGTTTTTGCGACCTGTCTTGTGGTCTGTTTTTACTTTTTGACCCTTCGTCAGACATGATCGTCTCGAATTGCTTCTCCATTGATGGTTTCCGTAAGTGTAAGTAGTTTTATATATTTAGGTAGTTGAGAATATAATGGATAATCTGCTATATGCATTATGAATGCATATAGCAGGGGAGAGTAATCTCCCCCCTGAAGGCATAGATTACGTAAACTGTTTGGCCGGGAAACCCCCCAACGACCTTCAGTTGCTGGGGGCAATCTGTTATTGCACGTGGTTTCCGTGGGGATGTTGGTGGGTTTTCGGCTTTGGGTAGTGGTTGTGGTGGGTGTTCTACGTTTTTTATGCCTTTGGCCAAACTATGCAAAGTTTACATTCATTATATTTGGGGGTGATTTAGAATTTGGTATTAGTGAGAATAGGATTATTAACCCTGCTGGGTTAGAAACCCAGAAAAAGAGGTAGAGTGGGGCTTGAATGTAGTGGTCCCAGATTGTGCTTAGGATGCCAGCCATATCTGGCAGGTAAGATAGGTTATGAATTCAAGCTAGCATAGTAGTGTGTTAGGAGACTGGTATACAACAGGCCTCCAACTGGTTAGATAACCCATAGTGTTGATTGTTAGCTTAGTGTGCTATGAGGGACGTGGAAGTGTAGGGGAAAGTGTTTTCTTAATGATCCTAACTACCTCCATGTTAAATTTGAATGCCCTTCAAGGTGTGTCTTTGTACTAGTGAAGATATCTTGATACAAGCAGTTGCAATTACCCTCCCTTTCCTTGGATCAAACCTGATTGCCAAACATTCCCCAATCTGTGTATAACCCATATGGCTAATATACATAGTTATGGGAAATTTTATTTGGGTAAATGTGCACGTACGTCAAATGGTATAAATCTTGGTAATAAATACCGACAAGTTGGTTTAGAAAGACATGTAAGCAAACACTATAACATATTTATTAGAAAACATTTCGGTCCTGGGACCTTGATCACTTCTAACATACAGAGGTAGAAAGACATTATATATATAGGCGGAGAGTGAGATGTGACGCACGTGACCTGAGGAATGTCATAAGAACATAAGAATGGAGGAATACTGTAGGCCTACTGGCTCATGCGAGGCAGGTCTTTATCAAAACAACCTCTACCTATGATGAGGACGGGTAGACGATGAAATCATGTGACTCCTGTGTTGTTGGGTTGGTGTTGCTTAAGTATCATGTATGCCAATGTTTTGAAATTTTGTAGTTTCCAGTGTTGCGTTCTATAGTGTCGGTGACGGCGATTAGTGAGGCTTCTAGGCACCGTCGGCGTCTGAGGTCTGGTTCGGTGAGAACGAGTTGTGCCTCATTCCAGTTCATCAAATGCCCCGTGGAGTCTCTGTGGAGGACACAGGCGTACCTTACATCGTCTCTGTTAGAGGCATTTCGATGCTCATTCAGGCGGACTGCAAGATCTCTGCTGTCTCGCTACATATTTCTTGGGACAGAACCCACAGGGATAGTGTAGACGCCTGCTGTAGAAGTTAGAGGTGTGGGGCTGCGTTTCCACCATAAACACATCATCTATCAAAGACCTCACTACGAAACGCAGCCCCACACCTCTAACTTCTACAGCAGGCGTCTACACTATCCCTGTGGGTTCTGTCCCAAGAAATATGTAGGCGAGACAGGCAGAGATCTTGCAGTCCGCCTGAATGAGTATCGAAATGCCTCTAACAAGACGATGTAAGGTACGCCTGTGTCCTCCACAGAGACTCCACGGGGCATTTGATGAACTGGAATGAGGCACAACTCGTTCTCACCGAACCAGACCTCAGACGCCGACGGTGCCTAGAAGCCTCACTAATCGCCGTCACCGACACTATAGAACGCAACACTGGAAACTACAAAATTTCAAAAACATTGGCTAACATGATACTTAAGCAACACCAACCCAACAACACAGGAGTCACATGATTTCATCGTCTACCCGTCCTCATCATAGGTAGAGGTTGTTTTGATAAAGACCTGCCTCGCATGAGCCAGTAGGCCTTCTACAGTGTTCCTCCATTCTTATGTTCTTATGACATTCCTCAGGTCACGTGCGTCACATCTCACTCTCCGCCTATAGTATATATAATGTCTTTCTACCTCTGTATGTTAGAAGTGATCAAGGTCCCAGGACCGAAACGTTTTCTAATAAATATGTTAGTGTTTGCTTACATGTCTTTCTAAACCAACGTACGTCAAATAAATTGTTTGAATGAAAGGGGTGGGATGGTAAACTCAGGGGACAGGTCGATGAAAGTCAGTCAGGTTTGATTCAGAGGAGAGTAGTGCAAGTTGACTTTAAAAGATTTTTTTCCCAGTTAGATGCCTCTATTTAAGGGATATTAGGAGTAGATTTGGCTAGGTTGTAATGTATGTTAGAGTTTACCTTCCAACTTGTTTAATTACAGCAGTGTCCTCCCGACAAACAAGATATGATCACCTCTTGTCTCCAGTGATCTAATATCCTGTGTTAAAAGACTGTTGTGTACGCAATGAAGATAATAATACATGTTTATTTCCTGGCAAAGCTTACAATGTGTGGGTCACATTATAAAATAATTACAAGAAAGGCCTCTAGCATGCCTAGGCATTTCGGGCAGACTAATCATTCTTACTCTATACTGACACAGGTTATGGATCAGTACATTTTAATATAACTTACTTATATAGCATTAACAGAAGTAAATAATTAGATTTATAATAATTAGTATAAAACATATAATATTAAAATTAGTAAATTTAGTGATGGGAATAAGTCTTGGCATGATACACTTTCCATTAAAGCTCATATATTGGGAGTTTCTTAGGCGAACTTAGGGCTAACTTAAGATTCATTAGGCAGTAGCTATATTAGGAATTTTGTTCACAGTCCTTTGAGTAAGTTAGGGGAATCACAGATATCGAGAGTAAATCAGTTTTGTGTTGGATGTGTGCATGATATGAGTAATAGAATAGGTGGTTTTTATCTAGTTAGCTGATGGTGGGATGTGTTAGGGAGAGAGGTTTTTTAACCGTAGTTTTGAAAATGGTGGTGGAATCTGGAGTTCTAGGGTTTTCAGGCACGGAGTAACAGGTTTTAAGCCATTATATGTACTGATTTTTTTTTTGTATAGGTTTAGCCGGACACGAGGAATGTCAGATTTGTCCTGTCACAACTGTCAAAGCGTTTTAGTTTAGGGTTAATATTGGAATTTATGGTTCTGTAAATGTGCAACCTGCTATAAGTGTGAATGTTCTGTACAGTAAGTAGGTTTAGGTCTTTGAAGAGTGAAAGGTGGGGGTGTTTACCATTGGATTGCGTGATAATTCTTACTGTGGCTTTTTGCTGGGTTATTGGCTTTAGATGGGTTGCTGCTGTTGATCCCCAGGCACAAATAGCATAGGTGAGGTAGGGATAAATGAGTGAATAGTAGTGCGAGTAGGGCTGATTGTGACACATAGTAACGTATCTTTGAGGGGATCCCAACTGTTTTGGATTACGGGTTGCTGAATTTCAGGTTGCTGTCAAGGTGCAGGCCCAGCAATTTTACTCATGTTTAGTGTTGTCAGTCATAATGTTCAGCTGTGCAACACCTGCTCTGTTCTAAAACATTAGAAGTTTATAGTCAACCTGGATGACTGCTATTTTTTGTTAACGAAGAGCTAATAATGGTGTTTAGTGAAGCAAGATTAGGGTGGGAGATGACACGACTTTGTCATCAGCAAAGAGAATAGTTTCAGGTGTCGATTCATTGGGCAGTTATGTACAACAGTCGCAACACTTGTTTGTATTAGCTTCCTGACCAGGTCATGAATTTTTTTTAAATTTCATACCTCAAACTAATAATGGCAGTATTGAGGCTGTCCGCCTCATTACTACTATTGTTAGTAGCTCTCTTCATGCAATTTGTAAGTACACCCCCCCTTCCTTGGATCAAACCTGATTGCCTAACATTCCCCAAACTGTGTATAACCCCTATGGATATATCTAGTTATGGGACATTTTGTTTGGGTAAATGTGCACGTATGTAAAATAATTTATTTGAATGGGGGGAGCGGTAAACTCTCAGGGGACAGGTCGATGAAAGTCAATCAGGTTTGAATCAGAGGAGAGTAGTGCAAGTTGACTAAGATTTTTATTTTTCCGGTTAGGCGCCCTATAATTAGGGGATATTAGAAGTAGGTTTGGCTAGGTTGTATATTACAGAATTTACCCTCAAATTTGTTTAATTGCCGCAGAATCCTCCTGACAGAACAGTGGAATCAAGAGGCGATCATAATAGCCTGTGTTGGAAGTGTTGCGACACGTACATGACTCCACTGCCCCAACACTATTAGGTTCCTGACAAACAAGGTCGTGAAATTTAAAAATGTATAATACCTCAACCTACTACTAATGGCAGTATTGAGGCTGTCCGCCTCATTACTACTGTTGCTAGTAGGGTTGGGGTGGGTATTTTTTTTTTTTTTTTCCCTCGAGCTTAGAGCTCCCGAATTGTGTGAATGTTGTCCTCCCGCTGACAAATACAGCAGTTGAGGCTTGTCTGTTTCCTTTTTCTATTTCTTGTTCCTTGAACACCTTTGTGTGTGTTCATTGAACATTGCTGTGATAAAGAAAGACACTATTATATTTAATGCTCTTATTTTATCGAATCTCGTAGGTTGAAGATGTCCGTGTTGTGGGCAGCTGCTGTGTGGTGAAGACCGTGCTGTGGGCAGCTGCTGTGTGGCGAAGACCGTGCTGTGGGCAGCTGCTGTGTGGCGAAGACCGTGCTGTGGGCAGCTGCTGTGTGGCGAAGACCGTGCTGTGGGCAGCTGCTGTGTGGTGAAGACCGTGCTGTGGGCAGCTGCTGTGTGGTGAAGACCGTGCTGTGGGCAGCTGCTGTGTGGTGAAGACCGTGCTGTGGGCAGCTGCTGTGTGGCGAAGACCGTGCTGTGGGCAGCTGCTGTGTGGCGAAGACCGTGCTGTGGGCAGCTGCTGTGTGGCGAAGACCGTGCTGTGGGCAGCTGCTGTGTGGCGAAGACCGTGCTGTGGGCAGCTGCTGTGTGGCGAAGACCGTGCTGTGGGCAGCTGCTGTGTGGCGAAGACCGTGCTGTGGGCAGCTGCTGTGTGGCGAAGACCGTGCTGTGGGCAGCTGCTGTGTGGCGAAGACCGTGCTGTGGGCAGCTGCTGTGTGGCGAAGACCGTGCTGTGGGCAGCTGCTGTGTGGCGAAGACCGTGCTGTGGGCAGCTGCTGTGTGGCGAAGACCGTGCTGTGGGCAGTCTCGTGTGGCGAAACCGTCTGTGGGCAGCTGCTGTGTGGGGAAAAACAGTGCTGTGGGCAGCTGCT